ATTTAATTAAGTATAATTTATATCAGTTTAATTTACTAAAAATAAAATCTTATTCATGAAGAGTAAAAAAAAATTGTAATTGAAAATTTAGAAAATTACACCAAGAACCACACACCCTTCAGGTTGTGTCATATAAATTTTCTCATCTAGATCACCATTCAAAAAGTCATTTTTGCATCCTTCTAATATATCACAAGCCTACGAAAAGATGTTAAGGCTATTAACATTTGGATAGATGAAATCTTAGAAACGAGCAAAGATATCAAAGAAATTTATATCTTGTTTTTGAGTAAACCTCTTAGCTACTAATATAGCCTTGTATTTCTCTATGGGTCCATCAGGGTTATAATTTCTCTTAAAGATCCATTTACATCCTATTGGTTTTGCTCCTTTAGGTAAATCCACTAAAGTCCATGTATTATTATTTTTTAATAGAATCAACTTCAATCCTAATAGCTTCTTCCCAAAAATTTTCATCTAAATAACTAATAACCTTTGAGAAACATATAGGATCATCATCAACTAGATAGGTATAAAAATCATCCTCAAAAGATGTTTCTTTCATTTGTCTTTTACTTCTCCTCAAGTCCTCGATCATAGACTCACTAGAAGTTTCTAAAGGTGAAGGTTAACCAGAATTAATACTAGACCTCAAAGGGAAGTTGTCCTCAAAGACTTTAGCATTCTTAGTCTTTACTATGATGTTACAATCAATCACACTACTTTTAAGGAAAAGAAACCTACAACCAACACTATGTTCAACATGACCAATAAACATACAATCAGAATTCTTAGGCCTTATTTTCCTTTTCTTAGGATAAGGTAACAATACTTTAACTAGGCACTCACACACTCTCAAATACTTTAGGTTAGGTTGGTATCATTTCCATAACTTGTAAGGTATTTTACTAGTCCTCTTGTGGGGTATCTTATTTTGTAAGAAAAATGGTGTGAAAGAAAATATGTACAAAGTTTTGATGATGCCAAAGCATTGAAGAAAATAAAGGTCAAGTTAAAGCAAACTAATCAAGAAGCAAGATCTCAAGTAATAACTAGATAAGTCTTGACTGCTTAGCTTAGTATGTAAAATGAACTTTTAGAATTTGCAAATTTCACTTGGCCATTAAAATAAGGATTTCAAGAAAACCTAAACTTAATCTTTTTGAATATAAGAATAAGTGGTTTGAAAAGAAAGCAAAAGAGTATTCAAAAGATTAAACAAAAATATTCTTAACTGGAAAATAATAAAAGCTTTCTATATCTTAAGTTTTCATAAAGCTAATTTTGGTATTATCAGTCTGGTAATCGATTACCAGGGCATGTAATCGATTACCAGAGGATGGAAACTTCTATGTTCAAAATTGAAATGTTAAATGGTCTCTGGTAATCGATTACCAGTCATTGTAATCGATTACCAGAAGAGAAAATTTCAAAATTTGAATTTGAATTATATAACGTTTCAATCATTTTGAACTTTAACCGTTGTAATCGATTACCAAGTCTTGTAATTGATTACCAGAGCCTATTTTCTGAAGAATTATAGAGAGTTACAACTCTTCATGAAAAGACATAACCCAAGAAACAATTGTCTATAAATACCTATAATTTTTCAGAGAAAAGTGACGAACTCTATTATGAAAATAATCTTTAAAAAACACTTGGCCAAAATCATTTGCAAAATCTCTAAAGAGTTCATCAAAGATCATGAAAGTGTAATATCCACTCTTCAAGAGAGTCATTCTGTAATACTTAATAGATCATTGGATCTGTAAAGGAGAAAAGGTTTTTCTCCTTGTTGGTGTTTGAATCTCAACACAAGGAAAGGGAGTTCCGAGGTGTTGGAGGATTCATTTTCTTGTAAGGTTTACAAGAGTAGTGGAAATCTCAAGTGGGAGACTTGAGGACTGGATGTAGGCAGAATTGGCCGAACCAGTATAAAATCAAGTTTGCAATTCTTCTTTTCCTACACTTTTATTTATTTGTTATTTAATTGTGTTATACAAATTTGTCTAAGGAAATACATTGATAAAGAAGTAATTGGAAAAGTTTTTATAAGAGAAAATTTAGTAAACTTAATTCACCCCCCCGCCCCCTCTTAAGTTAATTGAGGCTAAGGGACTAACAAATGGAGTCAACAAGGCTTCTCCCTAAAGGTTATCAAGAGTGAAAGATTAACTAATAACAAGAAATTCATCATTTCCTTAAGGGTTCTATTTTTCCTTTCAACTACTTCGTTGGATTAGGGCGAATATGGTGGGTTTACCTCATGGATTATACCTCCATTTTTGCAATAGTCATTAAACAAAGTGTACTCATCACCCCTATCAAATCTTATCCTTTTATTCAACTAATTTTCAACTTTTGTTTTATAGGATAAAAACATGTCAAATACCCATCTTTATGTTTGATTAAGAAGACTTTTGTATATCTAGAGAAATCCTCTATAAAGGTTACAAAATAATTCTTACCACCTATTGACATGGTTTGTTTTAAATTAGTAAGATCAAAATGAATTAAACTAAGCAATTTAAGTTCACAAAACACAGAATGACATATTCTCTTAGTAAGCTTTGATTCAACATATATTTCACACTTACCAACTTATTTACCATGCAAGTTAATTATACCTATTCGTTTCAATTTTAAAACATTCGCAAAATTTACATGTCGTAATCTAGCATCTCACATGTCATAAGAATCAATCATATATGCAAAATAAAATGCAATTCTACTAATTATTTCATATACATTTAGTACAAATAGACCTTGATCACAATAACCCTTACCCACAAAAACATTATTTTTAGTCATAACAATTTTGTCAAATTAAAATGATATTTTAACCCCTACTCTGCTCAACAATGCTACAAAATCAAGTTGAATCTAATGGAAGGAACATGCAAAACACCACTTAAAGAACGGCTTACCATATGTGAGCTTTAGAAAAACTTTACCTTACCTCGAACCAGGATGGTCAGTACACTTACTCTTCTCTATCCCCATAGTAGTGTAGGAGGCAAAAACATTTATGCTTGCACATATATGGCAAGTAACCAATCTACCACCCATTTGCTCACATTAGTCACAATGTTTTCTTGAGAAACGAACACAACAATAACATCATCCCCTTCAACCAAGTTAACCTTAGCCTTAGGAGGGTTATCGTTTATAAACACTTGAAATCAACACTAAGGTGCATGGTGGCTTGACTTTCCACAGACAAAGCAATTGCCATTTTTCTAAAATGCAACATTAGAAGCACGAGGGTAAGAGTTAAAAATGAATTTGTTTTTCTTTTGATCAGTTATTTAATCATACCACCTTTTATTAGGTTGGTCTTGCACTTGCACCACGTTTGCCTTTACTGCTAATGATTTAGCCTTTGGTACAATACACTCTTTTCGATTTGTATCCCCTATTATGATGTGGGTGATAAGATTTGTGAGTGACATTTTTTTATGCATATGTTTCAACTATTACTTGTAATCGGTCTAAGTTTTTGGCAAGTTTTCAATGAACAACTCTAAAACGAACTTATCAAGGAGGGAAATGTTTTCTAATTTGAGGTCTTCAAGTAGCTTATGGTATTCATTTATTTGCATTATAATGTTTTTTCTTCAATCATTTCCTAGTGGTAGTAGTTATTGATGATGAAGTGTTGTCTGACAACGTTCTTAGCGATGCACTTCATTATCATAAAGTCAAATATGTCTTTGGCTTCCTTGTATGATCAATACACATCAATTAAATCATTAGATAAAATATTGAGAATAGTATGACGACAAACTATATTGGGCTGAGACCAATCTTCCATTTTAGAAGTGGCAACAAATGAGGTGATGGAATCTAACTTCAAAGTAGTAAGACCATAGGCAACTCTATATATGTCAAGTATGGAATGAATGCACTTGTGTCACCGACCAAAAATTTGGCAAATAAAGATTTCAACGTTGGAGACGTTTGACAAGGTTTTGGCATACATGATGCTCGTTAAAGGAGGAGGGACCACAACAGTAGCGATGGTAGAAGTGACAATATTAGATGTGTCAGACATATTAAATCCTTAAGATTGTTGTTTTAAATGACGGACGTAGAAGTTGAAAAACCTGAAACACTAAAACAAATTGTTAGCAACATTCCCTCTAAAGCATGTGATGACACTGACTTTGAACTTATCCGTGGTATATGTACAAGTCTCTCAAAATACAACAAGGTCATCTCAACAAAGATGAGAAGCAAAATTGATAAGAGTATAAAGTAAGAAGAGAACCCAGAGAGAGGAGAGATTTTGATTAAGTGAAAGATGCGTAAAATAATGTGGCAAAGTATATACTTAAAGAGCTTAAGTGAAGCCCATAACCTAGTGTAGAAAATAAGGAATATACTTATCAAAAAATGGCTAGTTTATAATGAATAAGGATGACGAAGATAGATAAAAAAACTTAGATCAGGTTAACATTAAAAAATGTAATAGTAAAACAATCATATTTTGAATAAACTTCATTTAAATAATATAAATAAAAATATTTTTGGATTTCATAATTGCATGCACAGAATGGATGGATTTGCACTACAACAAACCTACAAAGCCCATTCTTATGCACACCAACCCACCACTCATTATTCCTTTCTTTGAAAATGTAAAGAACACTTTAATATATAAACACTTAAGATTTACTAGATCCAAGTAATGTAAGACTTCTTTTGAAATACACTTTATATATGCAACAATACCTTCACCACGGATAGCCACAAGAGGTGCAGTTATCTTACCACAACCAGTCTCCTTCCGTCCACACTTTCCACACAAGAAGCAAATCAAATGCAAACCTTCATATTAAATCTTTAAATCTTCAACAAATATCCACGAGCTATTACTTTAGGCAGAAGTGGCTTATCAAGGTCCACTTCAACACAAATTCTCGCAAATCGACCTCTAGCCTAGATCGCTATCACCTAATCAATTTTAAGCATGGTGCCCAAATATCAAGTTTTCATGTTTTTGCTTCACAGCAGAAAATGAACAAAATATCATATTATATATATGTGTTTACGATACATATAAAAAATGGTCCCTATACTACTACTATGAAGGGCCTACAGCAACACTACAGAGGGTGCCCTTTGTAATGATGACCTTTGGTCTACATTTCCAACACCTCTTTCCAACAATGTGAACTCTAGATTCATATAGCCTCCAACGAAATTTTGGTCCTCTACAGTTTTTAGGGAAACTGCATGAATACTAAAGTAGCCTTATATCTTAGCCTCTGACTTTGATAAACCCAAAGAGAATGTGCATACCAGCATCCATATCATTGGCATTCCTGATTGTTAGGGTAGCAGCAGTTTAATGCAGAATCCTCTCCCAGTCAGTGAATAAAGAATGCATCATTAACAGTATGTTATAGATGCAATCAGGCAATGAGCAATTCCTGTGTCCATAGATTTAAGTTCCCTTGGCAGCGGCAGGATTCCGACCAAACTGGATGATCATTGGCTTGCTTTTTAATACATACCCATTCACTAGATTCTGCAACAAACAGTAATATGCAATCTATACCATGAATAACACAAACAAGAAAATAGCTTGATGAAAAAATTTGTATCAGCACAGTTCGTGAAAATTAAGAACTTTATTGTTAACCTGTCAAAGTTAAACTGCACATGCTGCAGTAATAATCTAAAAGAAAAAATTCCAAGAAACTTCTAACTAAAGCAGGGAAGAGACTGAAATACAAAAAAGGCAAGAAAAAACTGAAAATATGATCATTTGAATGAAACATCATTTTTCAGCAAAACAATTAAAAGGTGAAATCAATCTCCTGTGAGAAACATACCAGGGCATGATGAGCCAATTGAATGGAGGGGAATGTTATAAATGCTTGACCCCTCATCCGTCCTTCCTGAAATTCAAAAGCTGCTATCAATTTCAGGGTCACAAATACGGGGATATAAATAGTGGTTAGTTGAGTAGGCACTCAGAATCAAGTAACTCGCACCAGTGTGTTAATCAAATGGATCATCTTATAAATAGCCAATATTTATTTTGGATCTCCTTTTGCGTAGCATCAACAGATAGAAGTTGTTTATGGAATAATCTATGACTTACCTGCATCAGTTTGACTTGAAGACCAGACTTAGCCTCCTCAATACTTCCAAACAAAGACCCTGAAGCAATAAAAGATACCATAAGCCAGATTTAACATTCGTACAATATAAATATACATACACACATATATATATATATAATATGAAAATCTCATTCATTTCATTTTTATATTTCATTTTTGATAGTAAAGCATTCAAATTGCAAGTGAAATTTTTTAAACAAAACCTGAATCCTGTAAGTCATGAGAGCTCACCAAATATAAAATAGAAATCATCAGCAATCACATCTTTTGCCAAATTCTTGATATACAACACAGGAGCAGGATTTCCAGCTGTATAGTTCTGCACAATCCATTAGTTCAAAAAAGTCCCATAAGTATACAATTATGCGACATAAAAGCTCTTATAAGTTATTTCTTGATAGACCTATCACAACAAAGGTATATTGTAGGAGAAATAAGGTGAAAAGCAGAGAACCAAGCCTCAGAGATCAGAAGGAAATCATGAAGAATATTCAAATTAGGGACGTGCAGCATAATGAAATGGACAGTGGAAGGAAGAGAATGAGTCAGACGTGAATTCAGTTGGGAGGGGGTTAGAGAAACGTAAGGTTAGTTTTGGGGTGGAGGAAGCAGAGCACCCAAAGGTCCTGCAGTGTTGATTTTTCTTGCTTTGCCATATTTCTTTATTTACTTGAATATGTACACTGTCTCTGGACTGATATCAGTTCTGGAGCTCATATACAGTCTCTAGACAGTTATATACATAAATATTACAGATTCAGTTTCAGATTCCTAACATTTCCATGCTCTTAAATCATGCATGATTCTAAAGTACTCGCTAAGTAAACAGGAAACATTGGACAACACAATGCATTAGGGGCCATTAGAGAATAGTATTGACAAATTTCGATTAGTATAAACACTTCATCATCCAAAACATAGTAATCAGTACCTGCTGATGATAAAAGAACATGAAAGGCCATGTGCTGTGAAGAGACTTAAGATTATGTAAAAGGCTAACTTGCTAGCAGTAAGAAATCCTCACTTGAAAGATGAAACCCATTCAATTTTATTGCAAGAAAGAACTTGCTATATGAGATCTTCTAAAAGATCAAGACTAGGAAACCGAAGCTACTCCTAAATTTATTTCAAAGTGCAAACAAGCTCACAGCCTCACAAAAAGGAGTCCATTATAGACACAGGATAGTTTTCAAAGGTCAACAAAATCTAAAATCTTTTTTTCCACTGCTACACCATGATAGTGCAAACTGGTTTGAAACTCATCCGCTTAACCCTTGCTTTCAGCTAATCATTTAATGAAAAATAATCCAATAAGATATTTTAGAACTTGTTTAGTTTGAACAATTTTTTCAGTTTATATTTCCTGTTTTCACAGACTATTAAAAAATATCACCTTGTTTCCTGTTTTCTAATATTTGTACAAGAAGAGGTGAAAAACAGGGAAACAGAGTGAAAATAAGGCAGTTTTTTTTAATAATTTATTGTGAGAACAAGAAATAAAAACAAAAAGATTTACAAAACCAAAACAACCCATACATTTAGCTTATATATAACTCATCTAGCCTTCTATTAGACTGAATCACTCAAATTCCTGTGACATTTTGGTAGATATTATTACTCACCAAAGTTAAAGAAATACAAGTTATGTGCAGGATATGACCTTGTGAATTTGTTATATTAATTACATCCAACGGCAGCACATTAATATTAATATTATACACAATAACAAAATAGAAACGGTAGGCAAATTCCTTAATCCAAGTTTATTGTGTTTTTTTATAGATTTTAAGCAAATTTTGCTTATTTATAAAGCAATGCAGAACATGACAGTAGCAACCTGCAAAAAGCCACAATTAGTCCCATGCCACGTAATAAATCATAATTTTTTATAAGGATGACAAAAATTGTTTTGCAACCAACTTAAATGGGACAAAATTGGGAAGTAACTTTGACACCACTGTGAATTTAGGACTTCCCCATAGAGAGGGGTAAAGCTTGTTTCTTCTTGTTGTGCACATAGTACTCAAAATGTAAATGCAGATATTTTATATTCATACCTTAAACATTGGAAGGGATAAGATTTCCTCAGGAGGCAACTTTCCTCTCTCTAATTCATATGGAGTCAAAAATTTGTTAGGATCCGGACCATCTTTTTCTGGCTCTTGTAACTCTTGAGATGTGTCATCATCTTTATGTTCATTCAGAATTGCTTTGGGAGCAATGTTTATCTGTAAAATCATAATCCGAAACAAAAATAAAAGGCCGAAAACATTGCTATTGTTATTGTTCTCATAAATCGATCTCCAGGAAAGAAATACCTTTAAGACAGGGTTCTTTTTTATCACTGGGATTTCTTTTGGGACCAAGGCGGCTGGTTTTACTCCAACAGACTCATGAGCCACACCTTTATCAATAGCAGGTCCAACAATGGTCTCACGCCTGGCACGCTTTTTCCCAGACCTTTTTGTTCTTGCTTCATCCTCCTAAAACATTGTTATTACTTTTATTTAATAATAAAATAAAAAGATAGAAGAGAAATATATCCTAATGCCATAATGTTTTTATAGTTTCATATTCCCTTAAAAAATATTTTGATATTAACATAAAATAATTTATGCATCAATAAGAATGCTTTTAAACTTGAACAACAAGCAAGTGTAGCATAAGCATATTGTGCAGTGATAAAAAGGAATTTTCAAAGAAATATTACCTTAAAACAACCACATAAAATTAAACTTGTAGCAGGATGAAAATAAATAAATAAATGTTTTATACCAATTTGGAAATATTTTGGCAAACTGAGCTTTAAATTGTACAAAGGATGTAAACAATATATGAGAAGCATAAGCTCCACCTTTTGGAAGCAGTGAAGATGTTACCTCTTCTGAAGATTCCATCTCTGATTCACCACAAGACAGATCTGCAGACCGAGGATTCGTGGTTATAATCGAAGGAGGTGGAGGTGGTGTTGTTGCTGGTACCTCTGGAGGTAATGGAGGTGTGGGCAGTGCCATACAAAATGGAGCCGGGATGTTCATTTTGTTCATCAAGTGTAAAACCTGTAACAAACAAGCACACAAAAAAGTTATAGGTGATTGAAAAAGAAACCAATAAATCCTAGCATCCCCATTTAATACTAGAAAAACCTGAGTGTAAAAGCGGGGAACAGCAATTAGAGCATTCACAATGTTGGTCAGTATATTTCCATCAGGTGGAGGGTAAGCATACCTGAAACACAAGTTTCATTAGATTATAAGCAAACCAAACAAAATGATTTTACACTGCAAAGATGTTTTTCAAAATCTTATCGTCATACATAATACCATCAATGATTAATATTAGAATAATACGATGGATGCATGGCAGAATTAGTAATTTAACAAATTCAAATTTATTTAGAAGCATCGGGACCACTAAAAACTAACTTTATTCAGTATGAATTGCCAATAAATAACATTTGGAAAAGCTATCTATGGTTCTCTCTTTATCTTGCCACCACAAACGACCAAACATACAGCTAAAGTGACAAATAGGCAGAAATAATAATCAGAACTCTAGATCTTTGATATCAAAAAGAAAAGAAAAAAGAAAGAAAGAAATATACATGTCGGAAAGCATTGCAGTTTGCAATGACATTATGCTTAGCCTAATACATTATTATTGAATGGCATGCAATAAGGAAACACTCAAACAGGACAAGATGTTAAGGGAGAGCAGAAAAAATCAGGGGAAAAGAGAGAATATATAGATTATAGACTGTTTATTCTTAAAACTTGTTCCCTGATCAAGACATTTATACTTGAAAGTTGAAAGAATAGCATCAAGTAAACTGGTTACAAAAGCACCCCACAGCCAAATTTTACTTTTACATCAAAAAATATATTGCATAAAATTCTCAGAATAATTCTTTCAAATTGATTCAAGATTCTACCCCTTCAACCTCAACTACATATAATCATAGATTTCTCACCCTTTTCTTCTGAGTTCACAGTAATTCTATTTTATTTTATCGTGAGTCATTTCATTATCTTGAATTATCTTTCATATTTTTGAGCACCAGCTGGCAGCCCTTTTAGCAGGCTATTGCAACAAAGCAACAAATAGTAATTACAAAGTGAGAAGAAGCGGCATACTCAAGATGGGGAGGAAATGGATAATTGACACCAAGTCTATCAGAAATTGGCTCAGCAATTGGAATGCCTCCTGACTTCATATCTCCATCAACAGGTTTGGTTACATTTGCATTCCTCAGCATTGATGTTTTAGAATCCTCCTTTCCCAGCTGAGCAGTGCTACTATTTTCACCATTCTCGGTTGGGTTACTAGCTCTTTCTGCTGACAAGACTTTACCGAGAAATCTCAACCTGAAGTAAACAAAGATACAACGATTTAAAGCCTTTAACTTCTGAAATATTTCATGGTTTTATCTTTGACTAATAACGAATTTCTTGGTATGTTGCAAAATCAGGAAGCCATTGAAAAACATATCAGAATATATTACTACAATGTAAAGCCAAAGCAGAGCAAGTGCACCAAAGCTATCTCCGAATCCGAAGCCAAATTACTCCAACATTTGAAATTTTGAAGGGAAAAAAAAAAAAAAAAAAAAAAACGAAGTATCGAAACGATTCAATTAATAATACCCATTTAGTTGGCGTTGCGCTTGAGATGCCAGCATCTCATTTTTGAAATCCACAAAAGCCGAATTTCTCATCCTGCATAAAGATATTTGGCAGTGTTGATGAAGACACATAAATTGGAAGAAAAAATTAAAAAAAAAAAAATGAAGAAAGAAGAGTAAAATACCTGGCACTGGAGCAAGGACGAACAGAGGAAGCGTGAAAATTGGCGAAGATTCGAGAGAGAGTGTCATGGGGAATGGCTTCCGGTAGGTGTTTGATGAAAAGTGTGACTGGGGTGTCACAAGGCTTTGATTCTGACCCAAACTCATACATTTCAGTTGTCAAAAACTGTTACTTAGGAGAGGTTGCTACTTGCTACGGTGAAGGTTGAAGATTCAAGATTGAAGATGGGTAGTGTTCAAATCCCCAACCCAAATTGCCCAAGGGAACAAAACCACTAGTGGAAAGGTTGGAGTAAAAATAATCATAAATAAGAATTCATGTAAAATTAAATAAAACATAAATATATTTTTAATCTCATTAATTTATTTTTAATTTTTTAAAATTTAAAATAATTTTTTTATAATTTTTAAAAATTTTATTTTAATTTTTAAATTATTAATAATCCAT